AAAAAAAAAAAGCTTTTTTTCACAATGGATATTTCATCAATATCCAAGTCTTTTACCGTGCCCCTCCTATAAATTAGTTTAGAAACAGAACTATTATCACTCTTCTTTACTTCCATACCCACAATGGAAATAATAATAATAATAATAGCGATTGTCCTTCTCATGCCCGCCGTCCTCTTCCTCCTCCGCCGACGGAGCCACCCTTCAACCGCCGCCCGTCTCCCTCCGGGCCCGCCCGGATGGCCCCTTTTCGGCAACATGTTCGACCTCGGCCCGGAGCCCCACAAAACCATAGCTGGGCTGAAGAAAGTGTACGGGCCCATCGTCTCGCTGAGAATTGGGTCGATCAAGACCGTGGCCCTCCTCGACGCCCGTTCGGCGTCCGAGCTGTTCAAGAAGCACGACGCTGGCTTTGCCGAGCGGACCATCACGGGCGTGACGCGGGGCACGGGCTTAGACCGGGCCTCCATCTCGTTCTCCCCCTATGGGCCCTATTGGCGCGCGATGAAACGGGTCGTGACCGTGGATTTGCTGACCCAGCGGCGGATTAACGAGACGGCGCCCGTCCGGCGGCGGTGCGTGGACGACATGCTGAGGTGGATCGAGAGGGAGGCGGGGACCGGGCGACCCGTGCACGTGACGAAGTTCGTGTTCCTAGCATCGTTCAACATGATCGGGAATTTGGTGTTGTCGCGGGACCTGGCGGGCCCGGAGGCTGATGAGGCATCCGAGTTCTTCCAGGTCTTGTTGGAGGCAACGGAGTTGTCGGGCCAACCGAATGTGGTGGACGCGTTTCCGTGGCTATGGTGGGCCGACCCGCAGGGGTTGAGGCGGAACGTGAAGCGTGCGTTGAGGAAGACGTTGGGGATTGTCTGGGGTTTTGTGGCCGAGAGGTTGAGAGAGAGGCGGTCGATGGGTGTGGAGGGGAAGAGTGATTTTCTCGAGGTGTTGCTTGAGCACCGGAGGAATGGAGATGGGGAGACGGGTAAAATTTCCGACCACGACATCAACATAATTGTCTTGGTAAGTGGCCTACGAGATGAAACACACGATTTCGATTCATTAAAGTAGCATGGCGATCTATTCAAACTCCGCTACGTCGAGCAAAACTGAGCTGATAACTAAAAAGCCGAGTTGAACCAATCAATTTGGTGCTGTTTGATTTGTCTTTTCTAACAATATTTTTGTTTACGGATCGACTTTAAGCAAACATAGTCAGCTCGCACTGAACAGAACTGAAGTGAACTGAATATCTTTTATATTACATGAACTAATAATTTAAAGTGAACTAGTATATTACAAACCCATTTGTTCAGTTGGGTTGGTTCTAGTAGTTGATTCAATTTCGATTCAGTTATAAATATTAATAGAAATCGATTTCCATTATCGCCCTGCGCGAGATGGTTAATGCAGGAGTTGTTCATAGCAGGAACAGAAACAACTAGCAGCACGATTGAGTGGGCCATGGTCGAGCTTCTCAAGCATCCGCAAGCCATGACCAAAGTCCGAGACGAGCTTCGCGCTGTGGTTGGGAATAAGGGAGACAAATTCGAAGAGCAACACGTGGATAGCCTGCCTTACCTGCAAGCCGTGGTAAAGGAGACCCTGAGGCTCCACCCGGTTGTCCCACTGCTGGTCCCCCGACGGGCAGCCCAAGAAACCATTTTCATGGGCCACCGAATTCCCCGAGGGGCCCAAGTGTTCGTGAACACGTGGGCCATAGGACGGGACCCGGAGTGCTGGGACGAGCCCATGTCATTCAGGCCCGAGAGGTTCCTTGGGTCGAGAGTCGACTATAAAGGGCAGAATTTCGAGCTGATACCGTTTGGGGCCGGGCGGAGGATTTGTGCCGGGATCCCGCTGGCCCACCGGATGCTGCACCTTGTGCTCGGATCGTTGCTGCACGAATTCGAGTGGCGGGTGGACGGGCCGGACCGGGTCGGGCTGGTTGATGAGAGGGAGAGAATGGGGGTGGCGGTCAGGAAGTTGGTTCCCTTAAAGGCTATACCAAGCAAGTGTTCCGCCTAAATATAACAAATAATAAATGAATGAATAATACACAAAGACCTTATTATTCTCTCTTCCTGTAATGTTTAGAAATTTTAAAATCAATAAGCCCTTGATGGTAATTGGCGACATGCCCAGGCCGTTGTGTTTTAATTTTGTCTAAAGTTATTGACGACGTGTGGTGCAAATGTTGTGGGGTACTTGTTGAAGATAGAATTGAGAGAATTAAATTTCATTTATAGAGTTTCTAATTATAGTACATTCTGTTAAAAAAAATTAAATAAATATATATATTTAGAATTAAAATGTAGAAGTTACACTGTGAACAAATTGCTCAATAAGTTGAAATTGTTCAGAGCGCCCAACTTTGAGAAATTGAGACACCTATCATACTTAGTAAGAGAAATGCATATCTTCACATCATCAACAAATCAAGAAGACGACAACATCTCGTGGCCAAATTAAATAATTCAAATATCAGTTTTGAGTTAAAGGTTGAAACTTGGAAGAAGAGAAGAAAAGGGCGAGAAAGAGAGATGAACAACAATGCATACTAACGAGAAGAAAGTGAAGTGAAAAATCGCGATGTAGTATAGCTAGGGTTGCAAACGAGCCGAGCTGAGTCGAGTATTGGCTTTATCGAGTATGATTGAGCTTTTTTTTTAGCTGTTCGAGCTCGACTCGATAAAAAATTACAACAAGCTCGAGCTCGACTCGAAATCAAAATGCTCGAGCTCGGCTTGAAAATTATGTAAA